AAAAAGAAAAAGGAAATTTGGACACAGACAGGGAGGGAAGAAACCCATGAGAAGACAGAGGCAGAGACTGGGTGAGGTGGCCATGAGCCAAGGTGTGCAGGTCAGCACCAGGCTGGAAGGTCCCTTGCCTAGAGCTTTGGAGGGAGCAGGGCCCTGCCGACACCTTGAGTTTGGACTTTTGGCCTCCGGAACCATGAGAGATAAATGTCTGCTATTTGAAACTGCCTAGTTTGTGGTACTTTATTGTCACAAACACAGAGAACACACATGGCGCCTGGACATGCTGGGCCTGCCCCAAGGCCCCACCGCACACCCGGGCTCCCTGCTCTTCAGTGTGTGCTGTGCGCCCACCCCAGGGGTCCTCTAATCCCTGGTGTCTGGGCTCCAGTGTCCAAGAGGAGACCAGCAGAGCCCTCCTCCGCCCCTGGGTGGGACCAGACAGCCTGGCCAATGTCTACCCTCAGGCCTGGTGACTCCTTAAGGAGTCACCTGCGAGATTCGGGAAGCACCAGTGCTAAGGCAGGGTCTGCCGAGGTTTGGAAGCTGCAGAAGAGAGGGCCCCAGGGCCCCAGCACCCCTCCCTGCTGCAGACTGGCCCCTCTGGGCCACACAGGCCAGGAGACCCTGATCCCCCTTGCTTTGGCCCAGACCCCAGGGGAGGAAGTTCTCGGCTCCACCTGTTTCACCCCACTCCTTGGGGAGGGCAGAGGCACCAGAACCCCACCCGGCAGAGGCTCACAGGCAGGCTGGCTGCTCTGTCCATCTTCCTGCCTCGCCTGGTGCCCTCACTGGTCCTGATCTAACCAGCCCGGGTCCCTGCCCTGGTCCAGCTCCCATCTCCATGCAGGAGCTCCAGGCTCCCTGCTCTGACACGTGGCCCTGCCCTGTGCTAGCTCCCCTGCTTCAGACCTTCAGAGGCCACCAGTGCCCCAGGATAGGCCTCGGGCCGCCGCAGGGGTGGAAGGCCTGGGCCTCTCAGAGACTCACTCTGCCCTCCTTCCACCCAAGTCCAGCCCGGGGACCCTGCCTGGCAGCTCCACCAGCCCCTGTAATCAGCTCTCTGCTCTCAACACCCGTCCGGGCCTTCCCTGGTCCCCACCTGGCCACCCCGCACCCCCTCAGACGCTGCTTGTGACATTCTCCAAACCAGACCCCATGTCTTGTGACATTTGGGACCCCTGGGTCCAGACAGGCCTAGTCCCACCCGCAGCTCATGGGCGGACGAATGGAAGGAAGAACAACAATAAAATAGAGACGAGGGGTCTGGGCGACCAGCGACCAGCCACACCTGCGAGGATGGGGGCGGCTGTGGAAGGTGCCTGGGACGCCGCGGACGCAGCCAGGTCACGGTGGGCGC